AGACCCAGGAGTCCAGGCCCCCAGCCCCCTCCTCCCTCAGACCCAGGAGTCCAGGCCCCCAGCCCCCTCCTCCCTCAGACCCAGGAGTCCAGGCCGCCAGCCCCCTCCTCCCTCAGACCCAGGAGTCTATGTCCCCAGCCCTGACCTTCTCTGACCTGGAAGAGCCTGGTGAAGATGTCAAACTCGAAGATGGACACGTGGCCGCTGAAGGTGAGGTCAATGGTGGAGCGCAAGGCCAGGGCCGTGGAGCCTGACTCCAAAGGGTGGCAGGTACGCAAGAGGGACTCAAACTCAGCCCAGGGCAGCACACAGCTGGTGAAGAGGATGAAACTGAGGTTTCTGGGAGCCTAGGACAGCAGGATCTGGGAAGCAGGTGGCTGAGGCCTGGATTCCCACGTTTGGAGTTTGAGGGAGGAGGGGGCTGGGGGTCTGGACTCCTGGGTCTGAGGGAGGAGGGGGCTGGGGGTCTGGACTCCTGGGTCTGAGGGAGGAGGGGGCTGGGGGTCTGGACTCCTGGGTCTGAGGGAGCAGGGGGCTGGGGGTCTGGACTTCCAGGTCCGAGGAAGCAGGGAGCTTCCTGGGACTTCTGGACTTCTGGGTCCTTGGGCAGGGGTGGGAGGGGGCTCCAAGAAGCTGAAGGCTTTCGGGGTCTGGGGCGGGGGCTCACTCACCGGGTCCCGCAATGCTCCCTCCAGAAGGTGTGGGCTGGCGCCTTGGTGAGCTGGTACGTGTGTCCACAGTACTGCCCCCCGGGGAAGAGCGCGCCAAGCTCCGCGTGCATGTGGCTGAAGATGAGGGCCAGCTTGGCCAGCTGCCGCCTGCGGAGAAGGGCTCTAAGGACCTGGGCTGGACCTTGGGGTTCCCACCAACTCCCTGCTAACTGTGGGCCATACCCCTAGACTCTGAAGATCAGCTCAGAGTAAAAGTCAATTCCAAGCCTGCCTGTTCTGGGCCTCAGAGCCCTCATCTGTGAAGGAAGCCTAAGTGTTGCCCTAGATCCAAGTTGTTGCTGCTTGTCATGGAGTTGGCCCCCAATTCATGGCGACCCCATGAGTTACGGAGTAGAACTGCTCCATATGGTTTTCTTGGCTGTAATTTTTTTTTCAATTGTGCTTTAAGTGAAAGTTTACATTTCAAGTCAGTTTCTCATACAAACATTTATACACACATTGCTATGTGACCCTAGCTGCTCTCCCTATAATGTCACAGCACACTCTTCGTTTCCAC